CACTCTCTATCACCAGACCCGATTGTAGGGTATTCTACTAAAATCCACGACCCGACTCGCTCACATACGCCGCCCTCATACAAAGCCGCATCCTCTCTACCTCCTGCAAGCATAACTCCCTCAACCCCCAGTAAAAACCTCTTCTGTTATACCTCTCCACGACATGTCTCCGGAAACCCTACACCTTCCCGAACACCTCGCAGCGGCCACGGCCCTAACCTAAATGTCCGCTCTGAGCTATATAGTTTATCTCCCATTCGATTTGACAGTCAACGGATTCTACAAAGCATGCGCAAGCAACCTAGATATGTGAACAAAGTTCCTTTCAAGGTTCTAGATGCACCAGATCTAGCGGATGATTTCTATCTTAATCTAGTTGATTGGGGTAGTAGTAATATACTGGGGGTGGGATTGGCATCCGCCGTTTATATGTGGGATTCTATGAATGGTCATGTTACGAAGCTATGTCAGTTGCAGGATGACACTGTAACTAGTGTTAGCTGGATTCAAAGGGTAATAATTAATGGTTTCGCTTTCCTGTCACTACCAAAGTTAAAATCCTGACAAGAAGTATTTTTAGGGGACCCATCTTGCAATCGGAACTGGAAAAGGATTAGTACAAATTTGGGACGCAGAACACTGTCGACGTCTACGAACAATGACAGGTCATACACTCCGTGTTGGCGCTCTAGCCTGGAACGACCACATCCTCACGTCCGGCTCGAGAGATCGAACTATCTTCCACCGCGACGTTAGATCTCCAGATCAATTCCTCCGCCGTCTAACAGGCCACAAACAAGAAATCTGCGGCCTCAAATGGAACACAGAAGACGGCCAACTAGCCTCAGGTGGCAACGACAACAAGTTAATCGTCTGGGACAAACTGAACGAAACCCCCCTCTTCCGCTTCTCCGACCACATTGCAGCCGTCAAAGCCATCGCCTGGTCCCCGCATCAACATTCCCTCCTTGCCTCTGGAGGCGGAACGGCAGACCGCACCATTAAGTTCTGGAATACCCTCACCGGCCACCAGGTTAAGGAGGTCGACACGGGCAGTCAGGTGTGTAATCTGGCCTGGTCGAAGAACTCGGATGAGATCGTCAGTACGCATGGGTACAGCCAGAATCAGATTGTTGTGTGGAAGTATCCGCGTATGGAGCAGGTTGTGTCGTTGACGGGGCACACGTTTCGAGTCCTGTATTTAGCCATGAGCCCTGATGGGCAGACGGTTGTGACGGGGGCGGGGGATGAGACGTTGAGGTTTTGGAAGATTTTTAATAAGAAGGGTTTGAAGGATGAGGGGGGAAGGGACAGTAAATATCATTCGTATGCTACTATTCGATGATATTTGGGTTGATTTTTAATTCTTTTTAAAGGGGTTTTTTTCTTCTCGATTTCTGCAATCACACTTTCGTTCTTTCTTTATTATGATGACGGATTCCTCCTTGTTCAATCGATTTTCGGGATGGTTTTTTTCCCTCTGATAGGGATATTGGCATTCAATTCTTTTTTTCTCAACCCCTTTCCGTCCCCGTTCTTTCTGCTTACACTATGGGCGCATCCGCAAAGTGGGGCTGCACTTCCTGATGTCATGACATTTTTTCTTCAAGAAGATTTACATCGTTGATGTTTTTTTTTTT